TGGGGGACTAGAAAACGGAATTGTGAGGTGAGACGAGTTCCGATTCTCTTTGTTTGCTTTTGTTCCTAAGGACACGGCAGTTTCAAAACTAAGTTTTTACTATCCGGACATATCATATTTAATATTTAGAGATTTAAAATCACCTTCAGGTATAGGTTCTTCAGTCATCTGTTTTATTTCTAAATAACAAAGACAGCTTTAGTGTCGTTTTGAAATTTTATATTATTTGTTAACTATGAAAGATTAACATTATGAAAATATACAAAGTTAGGCTTTCTTACTCTCACACCCACCCCCTGCAGACTTCTCCAAAATAGCTACTGTTAATCATTGATTGTGTTTCCTTCCAGATGATTTTTAACAAATAAACAAACATGTAGGTTTTCCTTGTGAAGGAAGTTTGTTTTTATAATTAGATGATGACTTTTTTTCCCTTTAGGTTATGGAGTACGTGGGACCTAAAGCCGGTGCGGGAAATCACATTTCCCAAATCAAACAAGCCCATTGTCAGGTAAACGCCTCTCCCATCTTTATAGTATACTCTGTGATGTATTTTTGTTAGAGAGACATGAAGGCACACAGACCTAAAGAAATACGTGATCAGAGTCACTGTCCACAGCTGATGTTTATCTAACACTAGGCTGTCCAACCCAGTGGCCAAAGGAGGCCAGTTCTTGTCTCTCTGGAGCTTAAATCCTGAGTCTGGAGCTGAGTCTAACAGACAGGCATGCTGGGAAACTCCCTGGAGAGGGCCTCTTCATTAGAGAAGCAATATTTTTTCTTGTCTTTATTGAAAATACCAATGGTGATTGATAGCCACAGGAGCGTGCCTGACAAGACTGATAAACAACCAGTTACCTTCCGCTCCATTAACAAGTTTGACTTTCAAAACTCAATGGGATGTAAGTGATTCAAATTCTACATTTATTTTCAATGCACGAGATTTAAAGTTCGATGAACCTAAATTAATAGCTTATTGTTCCATTTTTACCCCTTCCTCTTTCAGGGAAATAAAATACCTCCATAAGTAATCAGCATTTATTTCTATAAAGAGAATATGTAGTACTGTTACATTTTTTTAAAGCTTCCTGTACTCAAGTATTTGTTGTTTAAGTGATAAAGCATAAACAAGGAGGAACAAGAAAATATACAGAGAAGGAATGGCATGCACTGACCTCTGGGATCCTGATTTTATTCTCTAGCATGAGCTTCACAAAACTATGTGAGGTTTACAGTCAAAACCAGTGAGCCGTAGGCACTCATTTTGTTTGTCTCTCCGCTCCAGTAAAGATACTGTAACTTCTTTATACTAATTTCTATATGACCACCAATATGTAATACAGCTTTAAGAGAGATAATGTACAAATGGGATTTCTTTTCACAGCCTTACATTTTCCTCCGATGGCCACCATCTGTACACAGCAAACAGTGAAGGGACCGTGATTGCCTGGTGTCGGAAGGACCAGCAGCGCTTGAAACAGCCCATGTTCTACTCCTTCCTGAGCAGCTATGCGGCCGGATGAAGAAGAGAACGGTGCGTTCTCCACACACTTGAACTCCACAAACTAGACTTGTTCACTTCACCGGTGTTAGGAGGTTGAACATGAAGAAACGGATGACCAAACAAACCATCCAAATAATTATAAAATCTATTCTCTGTACAAAACTCTGCAGCTTCACAAGGTCCTTAGAGGAAGGTTTTGTTCTAAGTTAGTGAGGATTGGTGGAGGGTTGTGTCAGCATGCACTAACCAACAAGACTGAAGTCTGATACAGGAAGCTCAAATCATATTCTTAAAGGTTTTCTTTCTACAAGGGCGTTCTAAAAAAAAGTTAGGGTCTCTCCTTTTTCTATTATTCCAAAAGGGCCAGTAGAATTTAAATTGATTAGCTAATTGTTTATATAAAATACTTTAAAAAATTATATTTAAAAAGTTTTATACTGAGATAACACCCCCCAACCCCCCAAAAAATGAAAGAAAAGGATAAAGAATTCTGAACTTAGTAATTGCTTTCTTTGAGAAGTAAATTGTTCAGTAGGTACGTCTGCACCAAGCATTTTATGGAATATCTAAATACTAAAAACAAACTACTGTTGAACCTCAATGTTAAAAGGCATTTTCTGCCAGTTGCCTCCTTAGCTCAAAGAAGAACCAGAATTTTTTGACAGCCACAAACAAGAACACGGGTATCTTTGATCTCAGACACGTTCTGTTCCTTCGTAAAAATTCTACTGAAAATCCATAACACTAGATACTGACTATCCTTAGTTGTGTCATTAAGATTTAAAAAGTGATAATTCTTTTAATATCTGCCATTCATGGGGCATTGAAAAGTTACGTTTCCAGTAGAAAGCCTCCACTATGCAAAAAGTTTGCACAGACATTACTAATCCAGTCCAGATGAGTCATGTAATCCACTGTGCAGGAAGTTTTCTTCCCCAAAACAGGAGAAAAGATGACCGCTTACCTTGTTTTAAACACTAGGTGGAATAATTCCTTTAGGAAACAGTCATCACTCTGTTTCTACTAACCTGAGAATTCAAGGAACAATAGAAAAATCTAAGTGTACCCCACAGCAAACTTCCCCACGTGAAAACAGAATCCCTGAAACTCTTGGAATAGTCTATCTCTTCCATGGTGTTACAGCTATATTTTCACTTGGGGTGCTGCTATATTGGCTTTGAAAACACTGTAAAATAAGCTCAGTAATATGTTACCAAGGCATAAAAATATGTATTCCTGCCTGAGAATAACTCGCGTGTTTGTTACAGAAATTTGACTCATATGGTGTTTACAGAACTACTTTTGTAACTTCCAAACTTTCTAAAATATTCTGCTTAAAAACTGTATGAAATACAGTTTCCAAGTCTCTGCCGTCTAGACCAATACAAGAGACAGCGCGTGGCCGCGTGCGCTCATGACTTGAAACCGCTTCCGGCGTCACAATGCCGCGCTGGCTGCATTCGGGTCATGTCCGCACAGACCAGGCGTCTGTTCCCAGTTCCACATAGGCGCAGAGATGAGAATATTCCTATTCACGTTGAAGTGATTTGCTTTGTTTAAAAAAAAAGAATTGCAGCTTTGATGAATTCTAGGTTTCATTTTTCTACTGAGAACTTTAAATTTGACCCCTATTAGAATAGGGCTGCTCCTCAGTCTTTTTTTTTAAGGCTGAATTTCATCATTTATCTAACGAGGAAATATGCAAAATGACTGGTCTTGTTAAGAGTGCAATATTATATTTTTATGTAAAAATAAAAATTAATTTGGGGGGATTATTTATTCAGCATGAAACTTACTGTGTATGTTTGAAACACTCCATGGTGTGCATGTTCAGGCAAACATTTCTGTAAATTACCACTAGCTGTGTTTTCGTTGTACACACTGCCACTTCAAATGGGGAATAAATTTCATAAAAACAGATTTAAAGGCCTGTTCTTTATGCACTTTAAATATTGTGCCCAGATCTCAAATTGTTGGCTTTTATTTTTTGTAACCCACATAGGTTCTCTCTTTATCTCCCCTATAAATTTACGTCACTAGTAAAGGACAAGTTTCATTTCTTAATTATGGTCTTTATGACAAATTTTATATTTCAAACTTTACTACCCTTAAATAGAGTTTAGTCAGCCCCAAGGTCAAACCACTCATTTTAAAGAACAGAACAGGCCAGCCGAGTGGGTCAGTTGGTTAAGAGTTAGCTTAAGAGCGTGAGCTCTGAGCAACAGGGTCGCCGGTTGGATTCCCACATGGACCAGTGACGCTGCGCCTGAGCTGAGCTGCTGCTGAGCTGCCAACAGGTGGCAGGATGGCTCATCTGGTGAGAGCACGTGCTCCTAACAAGACTGCCTGTTTGATGGTGGGCTACACCCACCCGCAACTAAGACTAAACTCAGCACCTTGATTTGAGCTGCTGCCCAGATGGCCCAGTAGATAAAGCATGTGCTCTTAACAATAAGGCTGCTGGTTCGACTCCCACATGAGATCATGGCTATGCCCACCCGCAACTAAGATTGAACACAGCACCTTGAGCTTAGAGGCCACAAGCTGCTGATGTGTAGCCAGATGGCAACTGGCGCCCTCCACAACTAAGATTGAAGAACAACAACTTGACTGGTCCCCTTCCCCATTTCCCCAACACTGTTCCCCTCCCCCAATTCCCCAATTTAAAAAAAATAAAGAACAGAGCACCGTCCCCCATATCTGTGTGGAGCCCCCACTGTGTGGCAGGTGCTCCACTGACTCCTGAGGTAGTGCAGGCTGGTGTCGAAACCTGCTATAACAACATACAATGTGTGTGGTTACAGAGTGTGGTTAAGCGCTGCGAAGGGGGAGCATAGGATAACGGGAAGAATTCAATTGAGATTAAGAGAGTCCATTTTAAACTCCACAATAAATAAAGCAGCTACATCTGCCGATACGAAAGACATACACTTGAATGTACACTGAGCTGGGAAGGAGGTGCCACTAATTTTATTGTGTTGTAGGACCTGAACAGAGAAATATATCCTGCCGCTTTGGGGACACTGGGTAGCAACTCAGCTATTTGAGAGAAATTAAATAATACGATATGTCCCTTGAGGCCAAAATGATTAGAAGATCACTTGAGAAGAGGCTACAATATTCTTGCTCCAGTGCTGAGTTTATTCTCCCATGAACAAAGTTAATGAGAGAGAAGTTTAGAAAAGACTGTTTTCTGGCAAAGTTTGGCTCATTTTCAGTGTGAATTAAAGCGATCTTACCAAACAGAATAAACAAAGAAAAGCACACCAAGTCACCTCGTAATCATAGTGGGAAAACCAATGGTAAAGAGAAAATCTTATAAGCAGACATAGAAAAAGAGATACATTATATGCCAAGAAACCCGGGTAATAATACTTCAGACCTCTTAGAAACTGCAAGCGCAATAAATTGACACCTTTATACTGCTTCAAACTGTCACCCTTATAAAAAAATCCCTAAAAAATGAAGGCAAACAAAAGCTGAGACAATTCACCCACAGATCTACATTACAAGAAATGGTGAAAGATATTTTCCAGACAGGAGGAAATGATACCAAATAGAAATTTGGATCTTCACCAATTAATGTGCCATATCAGAAATGGTTAAGTATAAAAGACTTTTGGTATTGGCAGAAAAACAGACACACAGACCAATGGAACAGAATTGAGTGCCCAAAAATAAACCCACACATATAGAGGTAACTAATTTATGGCAAATAAGCCAAGAATATACAATGGAAAAAGGAAAACCTCTTCAGTAAATGGTGTTGGGAAAACTGGACAGCTATACGCAAAAGAATGAAACTATACTATCTTATACCATACCAAACAATTAACTCAAAATGGATTAAAGACTTGAATATAAGACCTGAAACAATAAAATAGAAGAAAACATAGGCAGTAAGCTTCTGGACATTGATCTCTGGTGTTTTTGTGAACTTGACTCCAAAAACAAGGGAAACAAAAATAAATGCATGGTACTACATCAAACTAAAAAAGCTTCTGTACAACAAAGGAAACTAGCAATGAAACAAAAAGGCAAGGCAACCAACCAAATGGAAGATGTTTGCAAATGAGATTTCCAAAAAGGGGCTAATATCCAAAATATATACAGAACTCATTCAACTCAACAAAAACAAAAAAAAACAGTTGTTGGATGGGCAGAGGGTCTGAATAGAAATTTTTCCAAGAAAGACATGCAGATGGCCAACAGGGATATGAAAAGATGTTCAACGGTGCTGGTTATCAGGGAAATGCAAATCAAAACCATGGTGAGGCATTGCCTCACACCTGCTAAGTGGCTGTTATTAAGGAGGGAAATAACAAGTGTTGGTGAGGATGTGGAGGGGAGACCCTCGTGCACTGTTGGTGGGGTTGTAGATTGGTGCAGCCACTATGGAAAACAGTAGGGGGAGTATCCTCAAAAAATTAAGAATAGAGCTACCACTATATGACCCAGCAATTCCTCTTCTGGGTATTTACCAGAAGAATATGAAAACGCTAATTCAAAAAGATATCTGTAGGGCCGGCCGAGTGGCGCGATGGTTAAGAACTCGCTTGGGATGCCAGAGGGCCCCGGTTCGGATCCCACACATGAGGGCCAGTGACACTGCCCTCCACAGCTAAGATGCTGAACAACAGCTCAACCTGGAGCTGGGCTGCCATGAGTNTAACCTCTGTTCTACTTTCTGTCTCTATGAATTTGCCTGTTCGAGGTAGTTTATATTAATAGAAGTGGAACCATACAGCATTCGTCCTTTTGTGACCAGCTTATTTCACTCAGCGTGTTTTCAAGGTTCATCCACGTTGCCGCGTAGGTCAGAACTTCTTTACTTTTTATGGCTGAATAACATTCCATTGTGTAGATAGATAGACCACGTTTGTTTATCCATTTATCTGTTGATGGACATTGGGGTTGTTTCCACCTTTTGGCTATTGAGAATAATGCTGAAACACACTAGGCATTTTGGTTTGTGATATTCGAAGGTCTTTAGCATATCTTTAAATAAAGGAGTATTTCCAGTATTTGTTTCTTTGCTATAAAATCTGAAATTTTTTCATTGCCTTCATAAGGAGAAACATAAATTCTCTACTTTTATGTTAGTTCTAATGGAGAAATAAAATTAAGTGTAGAAACACTATGTCACCCAAACATTATCAACATGAGACTATTTCTGCAAAGAAGACTGGACCCAGCCTCAGGAGCCTCCAATCCACCAGCCATTTACAGTGGTTGATAAGCAATGATTGCCTCCTCTCCTCCCTGGAAAACCACAAAAAGTTTGGTTACTTAGGGTCTTTAAAAAGAAAAAATTAGTTCAATAAAACATTGATTTATAAGATTCAGTGCCACTCTGAAGAATCAGCTTTTTTTTTTTTTAAGAATTAGTTTTTAACTCGGCTAACTTTTACCATTGCTATTTTTTTCTTCAGAAGTCACATGAGTCACTTCTAGATGATTTCAGAGAGTATTGTCTTCTCTTTTTGGAGATTGCTTAGCTTTCTAGATACTTGCAAATTCAGATTTGGTAGTTCATATGCTGAAATATTAATTTACCTAGTTGATTAATTTACCTAGTTGCTCTCTGTCGCAGATTAATTTTTTACTTTTGTCACTGGTCATTGTCTCTAGATAAATATGCAAAGCTCCGTGTGACTTACAGCATAGTAATTTCCTTTGTACAGTCTTCAGTCAGGAGCTGCCTATCCACTTCATCGCTAAAATGGGCTTGGCCCCAGCAATGCCCTCTGGGACCCAGGGTGCTGGGCTCTGAGACGCCCACACCCTGGTGACCTGCAGGTGGTTTTGGCGTTTCAGCTGGCGGAGGCAGTGACCTCAGGCTCTGGACAGTGAACGGAGACCTCGTGGGACATGTCCACTGCAGAGAGATCATTTGCTCTGTTGCTTTCTCGAACCAGCCGGAGGGAGTATCCATCAATGTGATTGCTGGGGGACTAGAAAACGGAATTGTGAGGTGAGACGAGTTCCGATTCTCTTTGTTTGCTTTTGTTCCTAAGGACACGGCAGTTTCAAAACTAAGTTTTTACTATCCGGACATATCATATTTAATATTTAGAGATTTAAAATCACCTTCAGGTATAGGTTCTTCAGTCATCTGTTTTATTTCTAAATAACAAAGACAGCTTTAGTGTCGTTTTGAAATTTTATATTATTTGTTAACTATGAAAGATTAACATTATGAAAATATACAAAGTTAGGCTTTCTTACTCTCACACCCACCCCCTGCAGACTTCTCCAAAATAGCTACTGTTAATCATTGATTGTGTTTCCTTCCAGATGATTTTTAACAAATAAACAAACATGTAGGTTTTCCTTGTGAAGGAAGTTTGTTTTTATAATTAGATGATGACTTTTTTTCCCTTTAGGTTATGGAGTACGTGGGACCTAAAGCCGGTGCGGGAAATCACATTTCCCAAATCAAACAAGCCCATTGTCAGGTAAACGCCTCTCCCATCTTTATAGTATACTCTGTGATGTATTTTTGTTAGAGAGACATGAAGGCACACAGACCTAAAGAAATACGTGATCAGAGTCACTGTCCACAGCTGATGTTTATCTAACACTAGGCTGTCCAACCCAGTGGCCAAAGGAGGCCAGTTCTTGTCTCTCTGGAGCTTAAATCCTGAGTCTGGAGCTGAGTCTAACAGACAGGCATGCTGGGAAACTCCCTGGAGAGGGCCTCTTCATTAGAGAAGCAATATTTTTTCTTGTCTTTATTGAAAATACCAATGGTGATTGATAGCCACAGGAGCGTGCCTGACAAGACTGATAAACAACCAGTTACCTTCCGCTCCATTAACAAGTTTGACTTTCAAAACTCAATGGGATGTAAGTGATTCAAATTCTACATTTATTTTCAATGCACGAGATTTAAAGTTCGATGAACCTAAATTAATAGCTTATTGTTCCATTTTTACCCCTTCCTCTTTCAGGGAAATAAAATACCTCCATAAGTAATCAGCATTTATTTCTATAAAGAGAATATGTAGTACTGTTACATTTTTTTAAAGCTTCCTGTACTCAAGTATTTGTTGTTTAAGTGATAAAGCATAAACAAGGAGGAACAAGAAAATATACAGAGAAGGAATGGCATGCACTGACCTCTGGGATCCTGATTTTATTCTCTAGCATGAGCTTCACAAAACTATGTGAGGTTTACAGTCAAAACCAGTGAGCC